GAGCATGAAACTCAGCAAACTCAGGGAGGCAGTGAAGGACAGGAAGGCCCGGCACGATATGGTTCATGGGGTCACAAAGAGTCGGACACAACGACTAAACAACAACAAAAATATTGTTTGCTATCATTATGGGACACTGAAGTTCTAACGGAATCCTTTCAAGGACACGGAGGTCTAAGGGCATTAGTCAGGCATGAATTTCCATCCTAATCCTGTATGGGAATCATCTTCCCCTTGGAACAGTGGTTTGCCTGTAGTGATACCAAGTGACATATAGAACTCTGCACTAGAAAAGGGCAGCCTACAGATGGCAGGGAAATCTTTATATTTGTTAAATGGAAGTCCTACAATTGTCTGAGATACAGTAATGGAGTAATATGGAAGCAGCAAAAATGCATCAGTTCAAAGCCTTAACATTGCTGGAATGAACATCTTATCTGCAGTTAGTTACTCTAACCTGCAGATGGTGATCAGGTGCCAGTCTTGACGATGGGAGGGAGTTTATGGAGATGGTACACAAGGTTTGGTAATGAATACTTGCTTTGACAGAGAGAGACTAGATCATCTGTTGTAATAAAGACACAATTTATTACAGCATATTCTTGCTACTGGGAAAATTTACTCAGAAACTCCAAAGAACCCCTTCCAAATATTTCATGTGACTAGTATCATTAATATTGCAGGGTTTCTCATTTTTTTTTGTTTTGTTTTTAAAGATTATATTTCAAAACAGATGAGTCTATATTTCTGTTTATCTAGTTATCAAGTACTCTTCAGATCATTTACAAAACCATGTTAACAAAACAAGGCAATACTAAATCTGATTTTTTTTATTTTAAAAACTCATTAACTACAGCAATATCAATACAAATTGTAGAAGTAGTTGAAGATTAAATATCTGGCAAAAGAAGATTTTCTGTTACAGCCATCCTACCGCAATTCAAACGCATACCTCTTTTCACTGTTTGAAAGAAATTGATATCAGTTCTTATTTAATCTGTGTTTTTAATTTTTTATATTGCCTCTCTTTCTGTTTTCTTAGGTGTCTTGAGTGGTAGCTATATAGATCAATTAAATACAATCTATTCATCCAGGGACTATATCCTGAGCAGGATGTAATCTTATGTCTCTGGAGAACAGGAGCTTTGAAAAATGTCAGGAGAATGGGGCATTTTCATTGTTGTGTGTCATGGTTCCAGACAGAGATAGCTCCCTATTCTTCCAAGGCCAACTGTTTCCTTCACACAGATGTGTGGTTACCATTTGTTTTGTAGAGACATTTCTTACGGCTTCTTAAACTAAGTGGCCTGGTCTCCACTAACAGGGAATGGTGTGAAAAGTGCAGTGTGTCTGTGGATGCACATACCCAGAGTATATAAAACATATAATGTTCTATCCCACTACAAAGATCTTGCTTGAGACAAATATTTTTTTCTGCAAAATCCCCTTCAAATGCAGAGCCTGTTCTCTAGAAGAAAGCACTGAGTGAAATGGAGCTCAGCAGGACATCTTTATCTCCTTTTATGCCCCAGTTTATTACATTATAAGAATGGCAATATTTTGGTAGCTGTGAGGTCTTCACATAATATGTACAAAATATAATCTGAGCCTATTAATTTATGCTTCTAGCCAGAACTATGGATTGATTTGTATGATAATCCATTCTGTTT